AAGACCTTTTCTCCCCATTTCTTCTAACTGTTCAACAAGCTGCCAGCATGTCTTTCTAACCTCCTCACAGCCCTCTAGCATGGCCACTCACTCCACAACACAGACTAGAAAAACTGGGGCAGATGGTGGGCCCAAGTCTGCAGACTAACAGGGTCTACATATGGTCCTTATGAGCACTAAATTTACAGGCTTATGGATCTATGCAGGCCATGAAATCGAAGTGGTGAAATATTCCCGTAATGAATATTACTAACAGTGGTAATGATAGGTATTTATATTACAGTGTACCTGATGCATAAACTTCATAAGAAAGACTAATAATTTTTCAAGAGTCTTGGCTCTTGTCTAATAATTCATTTTTTTCACCATTTAAAAATATCTTTTAAGTGATGCATCTGTACCATGAATTTTTGAGGACATCTTCAGCTATGCTTGGCTCATTACTAATCTCTCTCCTTTCTTCTTCTTTCCTTTTCTCTCTCTCTCTCTCCCTCCCCTTTTATCCTAAAAATCCAGTAAAGATCTTTCTTTATACCTTGAGCATAGCTTAAAGTTTAAATAAGGAAGACAGTGAGCTGCACTGGCTCCATGAGTTGCAGAGAAATTTCTGCAGAGAAGTTGCAGAGAAAGTTCAGACTGTGACTTCTCACGGTCTCGTGCTTCTGCATCTTTGTTGTCCCAAACATATTAATGCCACACTCAGTATCTTATCACCACTGAGGATGACCCATAGCTGTGTGTGTGAGAGAGAGACAGAGAGACAGAGATGGGGTGGGTCTTGCTATATTGTTCAGGGTGACTTTCCAATCACTATGTATCCAAGATTGCCTCAAATTTGTAATTATTCTCCTGCCTCAGCCTCCCAAGTGCTGTGATTACAGATATGCCCCATGATGCCTGGCTACATTTTACTGGTTTACTTCCCATATATACTCTATAATGTAATTCAGACTTATTTATTAGGATGGCATTTTTCTTTTCTCAAGAACTGCTATTTGTCCCCAGATGACTTCTTGAATAGCTCATATTTTTCTCACCAACTGGAATACTCACACTGCTAACAAGCACGGCATTCTCTGAATGCTTTCGATGTGCCAGAGCTTGTGTTAAGTATATTGCATAAGTACTTCAGCTTGGTCATACTATTATTCACATATTACAGCTAAAAATGGCATATTTGAGATTTATACCCAGGTCATTCAACATTAGAGATCATACGTTTAACTACTATGCTGGTCCTACAAATACTTTGCATCTATTTTTTACTTACACAGTAAGAAAACGTATTGATGTGACTGGATGTTCAGAGTGGGTGCCACAATTGATCTGGCTCCCACTCTGTGTCCCTTGGCTTTGCTCACTCCCATATGTAGCCTCATCCCCAGGCTGACAATGACCTCACTGCAGTGATTCCAGCCCCGATGTTCATGCATAAAAATATCCATCAACACAACAAGGATTGCTACTCCCAAAACTACTCCCAGGAGAAAGAAGAACTTTCTGAGACACTCCAACAAAATTCTCTTCAAGTTTCACTAGTTCAAGATGATCCACACGCCCATTCCTGTATCAGTCATGACAGAGATAGAGATAGAGATAGAGATAGAGATAGAGATAGAGATATATAGCATTATACAGGTTTACCCCTAGCGTTGGAGATGGTATTAGATTTTCTTGGGCACATGAACCATAGAAGTGAGGACTGTCAGTAAGGATTAAATACAGTGCTTGGGTGCCAAAAGTGAAAATAACAGTAGATTAAATTAGATTGAAGGTAAATCAGGTCTGAAGATAGGCAACACAGACAGGACAGTATGGTCTGTCTCAACGCTCCACCATCCTCAACATGCGTGTTTGCCAAAATGGTTCAAGATTGCTATGGCCATGGTCATCGTAGCCACCTTCAGACACCAAGGAGAAAGGAGTGCAGAAACAGACTGAATTTTCCCTTTAAGGATGTGACCCAGAATTACATAATATACTTCTGCCTGGATGCCACTGTACAGGACTCTGTCTCTTGGCAACATCTGCTGAGGGGAGGTACAAAAGGTGGACTTTATTCTAGATAACTGTGAAGCTAGATGCAAATCAGGAGTCCTGCTATGGAAGAAGGGGAGAGGACATACTGAGAGAATACTAGCAATATTTGCAACAGGTAGAAACATAAATTCAGTCAGGGTTCTATTGGAGAATAAGAGACAAGAGCCACACTGGTTACTCAACCAACAGTGTGCAACGCCTCCTTGCTTGGGTCACCAGGCCAGCCCTGGACTAGCCAGTCTCCTGGTGGTATTAGATCCTTGGGTGGGTCAACGTGTGTCACATAACCCTTCCTGAAACCTGGCTGTGAGTCATCCCAACCCAAATTTCATGGCTGAGGATGGAGTTAGAATAATTCCCTAAAAGATGGGTTTGCATCTTCTCTTCATAAATATTGTTTTTATATTGAGAATTTAGGATATTATATTTTTGGCCATCTAATATATCATGAATAGTTTTCTAGTTTATTATTGGTTTGCCCTTTACCTTTATGATGACATAATTATGGTTCTTGTTTTGACATAAAGAAATTGAAGATTTTATAAAGTCAAATAATCTGTGCCTTTACATCATCTTTATCTTTTCTGTCTTTCACAACTAAAAATATAATAAGCATTTGCCTTTACTACATTCTTTCTCAGTTGAATGGTTTTTGTGTCAGTCAGATGTTACATTCTACTGTAACCAAACCCCATTAACATTGGCTTAAGAAATAAGAACTCCTTTTTCTCCAGTAATAAATCCAAAGCTGGTTTGGTAAAATTCATAATATCTTCAAGAATCTAAGCTCATTCCACATATCTTCTGTCTATGATCCTTAGTACAAGGCTATTCCTCAAGCTTACAAAATGATTGCTATAATTTGAAATATCACACCTGAAGTTCATTTAAAAAGAAACTGTAAGTCCAAAACATGAAAGCTGCACTGAATCCCTCATTTTGTCAAGAAATTGGTATCTTCCTGGAACCCCATTTGTTAAACTTAGCACTGGCCACAATTATATCATGTAATCACCAAGGCAAGGTAATGTTTTCATCTGAGGACACTGCTATCCTGAACAACTTCAGGTTTATTATCAAAGATATTGAGCCAGCGATGCTGCCATAATTTCCCTCTGGAATATTTGATGCATGTTATAAGACAAAGAGTTAATTTTTTTCAGTTCTCTAAACAACTTTCCTAGCATCTTTATAAGTAAAAACTCTTTTTTTTAACTAATTTATCACATATTTACATTATATTTAAAAACATAAAGGTTCCAATTTCAGTTATGGTGAAAACTCTAAGACCAGTTCTCCCCAGATAGCGACTATAAACTTTTGACAAAATATAAAACACAACCATTGAAAACACTGGAAAATAATAAAAACCAGACAGAAAGTAGAGTTATTAACACTTGGAAGAAAGAAGACATTAGGCAAGTTTCCTGGCTTTTTAGCTTCATGCCCAGGCATATCCCAATCAATGCTGTATCTGAAATGGAAACCTATGTTTTTACTAGACTGAAGCACCAAGAAGAAGAGGTTTGAGTGATGAAGGAGGCTGGAACATAAGGCAGAGATCTTCAAAAAGGAACAGTCATAGTACCCGATTTCCCCCCAAAATAAGGCTTAACTGAAAAACAATCATCCTTAAAAACTAGAGGTCAAAAATGCCAGCCCCCATCAGCCTGTCCTGGGCTCAGCTGCCAGCACTATTATCTTCTTGCCTTGTGACCACTCTGTAAGGTGGGAAAGGCATAGACAGGCCGAGTGAGGCTGGCATTTTTGATCTCTGGTTTTCAAGGCTGATTATTTTCTGGTTAGGTCTTATTTTGGGGAAAACAGAGGAAGCCCTGGATTTTGTAACTCATACCAAATCTCTGTTGTTCCTGAACTACTCAGGAGCAATGCACCAAGCAGTCATGCTAACATGCAAATAACTGAACAGATTTCAGTTGGTACAACTCGGCAAGAGACACAGAGTTTCATCCAAGTTAACGGCTCACTTTAAAAGAAAAGTCAATACTGAGAGAATATGATGAAATCCAGAGGTGCTATAATGCTTATTCGTAACATCCAGGGTACAGAACAAAACTGCTATGCACACAGGAAGAGGAAACGAGACCTTTAGGAGGGGGACAATCAATAGGAATCAGTCCTAAGATTACCCACATTTTAAAGCAGACAGGAATTTTAAAGCAGTTGCTCCAACTAGGCTCAGAAAAGATGGTGAAGTCTCAGTCCACTTCTGTTTTTTTCCTCTCAGAAAGCTTAAAAAGGAAAGTTTATCCTATTACACATATGTCCACATATCCTCCAAAACCTGAAGTGAAAATCAATCAGGTTAGTGAAGGTTAATATCTGTGTAAGAATCAAAAATAGGGATTTTTAGTATCCCTTATGCAAAAATAAAACATTTCTTTTCTGTTATCAGTGCCAGGTTACAGTGGATAGAAAGCCCTCGTTAAACTCTTGGGTCCCCCGCTCTCCTACATGAGAGGTGTAAGACCCAGAAGCTGTGGGATTGCATGTCTCTTTAGCAACCCAGCTTCTTTACCATGCTTAGTAAAAATCCAGCCAGGCGTGATGACACATGCCAGTGATCCCAGCACTTGGGAGGCTGAAGCAGGAGGATTGTTGAGAGCTCAAGACCAACCCAGGCTAGAAAGTGAGCTCAAGGCCAGCCTGAACTGTGTAGTGAGACCTTGTCTCAAAAACTTAATTAATTAGTTAAAATAGTAAAAATCCAGCCCATCCTTCTCCAAGAAATCTGTCTTACAGCCCACTTCACCCTATCTTTGATACCTTGATGTTTTTCACTTTGGAAATTCAATGAAGCAGGATAATTTAGGGAATAGAGAGAAAATAAAATTTAGAGGCAAATAGACTCCATAGAAGGCTACAAAGTAATATACATAGCTCTGTCAGAAGCCAAAAGGGAATGCCTTGTTAACTCCTCTCTTCACTCCATCATTTAGGGAAAATAACTTATCCTCTGATTGCTCCCTATTCTGCAAGCAAGTTCGCTCTGGATGGATTCTTCTCGACCCTTAGGTCAGAGTTTTTAGTGAACAAAGTCAATGTGTCGATCACTCTGTGCATCCTTGGCTTGATAGACACAGGTAAGTGTAAGGCCTGGGCGTAAGTGCCCCCCAGGACACGGGGCTGGCCGTGGTGGGTAAAGAAGAGGCTGCTCTCTCCGACGCAGGAGTGACACCCAGCACTAGGGCTGCACGCAGGAGCACTTTCCCCTACCAAGGCAGTTGTGCCCTGCTGGGATTTCAAGCAACTCTGTGACTGACTCTCTTTTCCTTACCAGCTACCAGGTCTGCTGAGTGACACCACAGTCATCACCTTATTCTTCTCTATATACTTTAAGTCCTCGAGGACTCTCAATGGCCATTATTGCTCCATATGAGACTTACCAAATAGGTATTTTTCTTAATAATATCAATAGTAATAAGACATACTGATATAAACCTTTTGACAAGTTCTGAAAAAGACAATATTGTTTTTGTGACAGTCTTGCCGAAAATGTATCACCTCACCCTGACCATAAAAGAATAACGGACAAATTCAACTTGGAGAACTTTCCTCAAAACAACTGATCAGTAGTCTTCAAAGTGTCAAGACCATGAGAAGCAAGGAGAGACAAATACTGTCATAGGAAAAATACGAGATTACTCTTAAGTGCAATCTTGGATATGAACTTAGAATGTAAATGGAACATTAGAGAAAAATCAGTTTTGTAATTTAGCTCATTCTATTATACTTAGTGGTTATATACGATGCTACCTGAAGGGAAACACAGCAAGGTATGTAGAGAACATGTAGCAGATATTATAGGTTTTATTCAAAGAGTAACTGAGTAATCTCAACATTCGGGAGGCTGAGGTAGGAGAATGGCTGCAAGTTCAAGGCCAGCCTGGGCTACAAGTGAGGTCAGGGCCAGCAAAACTCTGCCTAAAAAGACAAAATAAATAAATAAAAGGAGTAATTCAATGATAGTTACAGAATGAGCTAGGCAAAGGTACAGAGTGAAACAAAAAAAAAAAAAGGGAAGGAAGCTGTGCAATACGAAAGGACAAGGAAACTTGGAAGGGACCAAGCCAACAGGAGGGTTTCTTTCTAGTTAAAGAACAGACCAAAAGCCTGCATCACATCTTTCCTTTTACAAATCATTCAGCACTCTGGATTTGTTCCTACCGGTGCCTCCCATTGGCTATCAGGACATCATGGGACTTCCATCCTCATTCTGTCCCCACCACCACCATCACGAACACACACAGACAAAATACTCAAGCAAGGCACACGATTCAGCTACCCCAACTAATCACTTCTACATGCTACCACACATTCCCATCCAGGCTGGCAGGTCCCCTATTCCTGTTAGTCCCAAGGCCTCTCTCTTTGTCCAACTGGCTCTAAACATAGCCAGGCTTTTATGGGATTTGTGAGGCTCCAGCATTGGAAGCAGTCCCTAACAAATGTGGTGTCTGTAGGTCTTCCAGGACAGACTCAGCTGATCTTGGTCACCCCCCCCCTTCCTTTGTCATTTACAGAGACAGCCATAAAGGCAACTTCGGGGATATATTTAGGACCTGCATCTCCAAAGGAGGAGTGTGCTCTGGAGATCATCAAAGGGACAGCTCTGCGTCAAGACGAAATGTACTATGTCGGCTCACGCTGGGTCCCATACCTGCTAGGAAATCCAGGAAGAAAGATCATGGAATTTCTCTCAGCAGCAGAATATAACTGGGACAATGTATTAAGCAACGAGAAACTCTATGGAAGGTGGGCATGATGAAGGATCTTGGAACTGTTCTGCACAATGTTTTTCTGAGCTCTAGTCCTGAAGGTATCTTCCCAGAGGAATAACTAATGCATGCCCACCAGCTTATAAGTTATGGGGTACTTATCACAACTGGAAGGAGTTCTTCTAAGACTTGCACAGTGGAATTGTAATTATAACAAATATGAGCCACTTTACAGCCTGCTGTTTTAAAAATGATAGTAACCATATGTACAGTTTTACCAAATTTAACTCTTATGCTATGATGCTTAACATGATTAATTATAATAAATGTCATAAAATTCATAAATTCAAATCTGGTAGCTTGAGTTCTTTCAGTATGGTTCCTTTACGACAACAAACAATACAAATGAAATTTGTTAATGTTCATATCTTATTTTGCAGTATTGACTTTTTATTTGTTCCTGAACAAACCACCATACTCTCAGGAGACAGGCATCACATTTTTATCATTTCTGTGAGTTTCAGATACTCTCTGTGTTGCTATACATTGCTCCTCTGAGAAGAAGAAAGCTGGAAAAGAGGTACTAATACAAATTCAGGGAAGGGGAGGTCACAGCACTTACGTCCATGGCACTGCTCTCAGAGTCCACCACCAACATATACGCTTCCATGGAAATGCTCAACTCTATATTGCATGTTTGTAGAGAAAGAGTTGGAGTTCAAATCCCACCACTTATCCATTCATTCATTCTTTCAAAAATGTTTATCAAATACTTGCTAGGCATCATTGAGTTTTGATCAAACGAAAAAAAACCCATCAGCTATAGCAACAACTCAGCAAAGCCCTCTGTTGGTCAGAACCTAACAGGTAAGAGACAGCACCTTCTTGTTGGATCATTATAGTATAATTTAATAAAAGAGAGACTATTTACAAAAAAATGTGAACAAAGGAAAATCACAAACAATATCACAGTGCCTTGAGGCTATTGTAGCTCTTTCCACTACAGGTTGTTGAAACCAAAGGAGAAAAGTGTTGCTCTCTACAAGGAAAGATCTCTTTGTATAGTGACTTGATCAGAGCTGTGACACATTGAAGGGTATTATCAGGCTACGGAAGACCAGGAAGGAGAAAACTAAAGGGATACCTCCTTCCCAGCCTCATTCTTTCCCTAATCTCTGATCTCTGGCCTATGCTTCTAATTAGCTGAAAAGGGAACCAAAAGAGCAAACTGGTACCATAAAGATCAGTTTCTCCATACACCAAGAAGAGTGGAAAAAGACCTGGAAAGAGGAATGGAGTATCTGAATAGAGGAATGAAGTATAGCACAAACTCAACGCAAAGAATTTAGGGCTTCCCTGGTGAGTGATGCTGGAATATGGATGCATGGGGAAATGTTCTTCTTCCTGCCTCTGAATCTAAATATATCCCAATAGATTAGAATCTGTTGAGCTTTTCACCACACAGACAAGAAGCTGGGAACTGGGAGTTTGATAAGGCTGAACTTTCCTGAGAGAGTCCTTCCCAAGCTCTGCCCAGGAGAAAAAGACCTGACTGCTCCTGACTGCAGGGAAATGGACTAAAACCATGAAGTCTTGTTTCCTGAGACAGCATACTAACATGCAAGGGCTCAAACATGCACATTTCTAAGATGTGGCTTCATAGATGTCTCACTTTCCGACCAATCAGATTAACACTGTACACTCTCTTATAGACAGGAGGCTCCCCTTCCCAGTCAGAAAGGTGCAATAAATCTTCTTCTGAAGGGGGGAGATAACTTACAGCTGAGTTAGAGTTTGCCTGGGGAGAAATGAAACCTCTTTCTAAATCAGGCTTTCCCCAAAACCTAAAGGGGAAGATCTTCAAAAGTAGGTCTGAGAACTGAAACCATCTACACCCACATAGCTTGTTATCTTCAGTAAGGTGACATTAAAATTCCATCATCCTTATCAGAATGACTTTACCATTTCAACAGTTTCTCTTTACCATTTCAACAGTCTCTTAAGACCTAACTTAAAATGCTTAACTTGTCAATACATAGCATCAAAGTGACTGTTAGTGCCTTTCAACTCTGAACCCTTACTTCAAAACCTAGACTACACTGTGCCCACTGCATTGTGATCCTTACCTCGCTGAAGTTCATCTTAAATAGACTTTAATGCTTCATAAATACCAGATTTTCCCTGTTCTGTCTGAGAGGCTAGAACTACCATCCAGGTAGAACTCCCCTGTACCTGGGTGAGCAAAAAACCTGCTTTGATTATCGGCAAGTTGTCTCGGTAGTCTTCTCTGGAGTAAGTACTCATCAAGCCCTTCCTAAGAGTCCCTCTTCAGGGCTACTTTCAGTTCCTAACCTGCTCTCTTGCCCCTTAGATAGCGGGCCCCACTGGAGTTCTAGAGCTAAGCCAAGTTCCAATTTCACCGTGGTACCAACAGAACAATGGCCCATATCATCGGTCAAGTTCCACTTCAAGAAATCGCCCTTCCTAGCTCCTGTTATCATGAGCTCAAAGACACATGTACATAGATGTTTATTTGCACGTGGCATGTGGAATTCAGATGTGTATCACCTACATCTCACCTGGCATATCCAGCATCACTTTGTGGATTCCAAATGGAATTCTGCTCTCCCTGAAAGTATTAATGAGCAAGGAAGCATCTTCCTAGTATTCCAGAGGGAAGCAAATTAAGTCTCTATGCATTCACTGCTCTGCTTAACTCAAGATGATTTGCCCTTGGCTGTGCCCTTCTCAAAGTGCTCCCTCTTGATACTACCTCCTATGTGAGTCCAACCCCAAGAGGGTGAGTCCAGTCTCTCTCCTCCTCCTCCCTCTTTTATCACATGTACTTGATACTCACTCTGGCTTGAGGCCACTCAGCAGCATCTTATTTTTAACAAAAGTAATACCTTTCCAAGAAGACACTTTTATTTTAAATATTAAGAAAATGACCATTTCACCAAATGTCATATTTGTAGTAGCCTAAAAGACAAAAATAACCTCTCTAAACAAAAATGTTTAGAGGACGTCATTATTATGAACCCACTATGTCATAATAATAAAGGATCAGGTCAATGATACATACTTACTGTTGTACTCTAAGAAAATAGCTTCGTTAAATGTGTATTATAGCAAACCTCTAACGTGGCTTACTAAATGTGTTTTTTTATCCTTTTTCCCTAACTGATATGTTAAGTGACCTAATTGATATGTTGAGCAATACTCTCCTCTGTAAAGAATTGCAAGAATCTCACCTAATTGATATGTTAACCATTGTTGCCCTCTACAAACTACAGAAGTTGTGCTAAAACAAGCTAACAAGGGTTGTTAATCACTGTTAGGCGCCTCTATTCTCTGCTAAAGAGCTAAAGAAAACTAGAATGGCCCATTAATTTACACTTGTTTAAAGTAACCTGCTTGTGTGCAGAGAGATTTGCGTATGAGTTTAACCCTTTACCTGACCTTGACACATAACCGCCGTTTTCTGTTCTGTATGGCGCCTTATTGCCTCCCTCTCCCCTCACCTATCTATCTAGGCCATAAAGAATTTGGGTTTCTGGTGACCTCTTCCTGACCCGGTGATGATCTGTCATAAAATGAGCCTGCCCCAATTTTAAGAACTGTTTAGCTTCAAAGAAATTGCCGGGAAACACTATGGCCCAAACCCCAATCGGTGCTTTCCCTTTGTTCTGTATGCATCAAATGAGTTAGATATCAGATCTTTGTAAAACTTAAGTTTCAGCTTCTTGTAACTCTTGACCCCTTCACACCCACTAGCGAAAACGAGCTGTCCTGGGATAATTAACTGTCCACTTTCTTCTCCAAATATTGCTGCAGATGTGCCACTCCGAGATAATGTCAGTCTGTAGGATGGGAGTAATTTGAGAAACACCAGGAACTCCCGAGATTGTCAGAGCTAAGTGGACAGCAATACAGTTTTCAGACTCGGGTCAACAAGTTTGATGGCTCTGCAGGTTTCTTTGTTTCTCCCCCCCACCCTTTTCCTCCAGCCTCTTTTTAAAGTCCTTCCTTCAGTCTCTGGGAGACAGTCTCCAAATTGGCTCCCGGAGACTTGTCACCAGGCCTGGAAATAAAGCCTTTGCTACCTAAATTTTCGGACTCTTGTTTCCTTGGGTTTTATACGTGGGCCCGAGTTATAACACTTACACAGAATGAACTCCAAGGCATATGGATTGGGCATGGTGCACGCATGTGTGTGCATGTATGCATGTGTGTGCATGTATACATGTGCAGTAGGAAAGCTATCTAGCATGATGTGTTATTCTGAGACATAGGCAAGTCTTTCCTCTGAAGAATAGACCTATCATTCTTTAAAATGGTAGTATTAAAGGTTGCACTGTATCCTCCAAAAGGTATGTTGAAATCCTAATTCCTAGTGCCTCAAAATGTGAAGTTACTTGGAAACAGACCACGGCAGATATAGCGAGGTTAAGAAGAGGTCATCTGGATGAGAGTGGATAATGTGACTCGTGTCCTCACAGGAAGGTGGCTGTCTGAAGGCAGAGGCACACAGAGAGAACATCACATGGTGACCAAGGCAGTTCTGAGTGAGGGGGTTGCAGGCAAAGAAGGTCAAGCACTGAAAACATCCACCAGTTGGCAAGACAGGCGAGGAAAAATTTTCCTCTACAGGTTTTCAAGTGACTCAACTCCATCAACAACTTGGTTTTGATCTTCTAGTCTCTGGTACTGATTCACTAAATTTCTACTGATTTAAGTCACCCAGTTTGTGGTACTTCGTTACTGCAGCCCCAGAAAAGTAACAAAGGCAATAATAATGTAATTGTAAGCTACCCACAAAGCAAAACAAGGGGTGCATAACTTGACTCAGAATTTCACTTCTAGAAACACCAATGTAAGAATCTGATATGATTAAAACAGAATCATGGGCTTGGAGTTAACTCAATGGTATAGTGCCTGAGTAAGCTTTCTGATGCCCTGGATTTGACCCTGGCACCAAAACAAAAAGTTTTAAAATTATGCCACATCTATATCAAAACCCATGGAATCTCAATCTCACTCACAGCAAAGGACAAAATCTTTACAGAGGCTAACAGCTCTGCCATGGTCTGGTTCTGGATTTGCTCTCAGACTTCATTGCCTGCTGCCTTCCCCTCCCATCTCCAGCCACATACAAAGCTTGCCTTTGCTCTGTGTGCCTGGGATGACTCATGAAGTCAGCTACCTTGCTTCCTTCAGGTGTTTCCCCAAAGACTGCCTTCTCCGTGAATCATTCCTTAACCACTCAATAAAATGGCAAACCTGCTTTGGCATGTTACATTTCCCTTCTCTGCATTTTCCCCCTTTATTTACCTCTTACAATTAGCTATCTT